AACCACAAAGATCAAAAGAGACAAAGAATGTCAATATATAATGATAAAGGGATCAATTCAACAAGAAGAGTTAACTACCCTAAATATATATGCACCCAATACAGGAGCATCCAGATTCATAAAACAAGGCCTTTGAGAGTTACAAAGAGACTTAGACTCCCACACAATAATAGTGGGAGAATTTAACACCCCACTGTCAACATTGGACAGATCAACAAGACAGAAAGTTAACAAGGATATCCAGGAATTGAACTCAACTCTGCACCAAGCGGACCTAATAGACTTCTACAGAACTCTCCACCCCAAATCAACAGAATATACAGTCTTCTCAGCACCACATTGCACTTATTCTAAAATTGACCACATAGTTGGAAGTAAAGCACCCCTCAGCAAGTGTAAAAGAACAGAAATTATAACAAACTGTCTCTCAGACCACAGTGCAATCAAACTAGAACTCAGGACTAAGAAACTCAATCAAAACCACTCAACTACATGGAAACTGAACAACTTGCTCTTGAATGACTACTGGGTACATAACGAAATGAAGGCAGAAATAAAGATATTCTTTGAAACCAATGAGAACAAAGATACAACATACCAGAATCTCTGGGACACATTTAAAGCAGTGTGTAGAGGGAAATTTAAAGCACTAAATTCTCACAAGACAAAGCAGGAAAGATCTAAAATTGACACCCTAACATCACAATTAAAAGAACTAGAGAAGCAAGAGCAAACACATTCAAAAGCCAGCAGAAGGCAAGAAATAACTAAGATCAGAGCAGAACTGAAGGAGAGACACAAAAAACCCTTGAAAAAATCAATGAATCCAGGAGCTGGTTTTTTGAAAAGATCAGCAAAATTGATAGACCACTAGCAAGACTAACAAAGAAAAGCAGAGAGAAAAATCAAATAGATGCAATAAAAAATGATAAAGGGGATATCACCACTGACCCCACAGAAATACAAACTACCATCAGAGAATACTATAAACACTTCTACACAAATAAACTAGAAAACTTAGAAGAAATGGATAAATTCCTGGACACATACACTCTCCCAAGACTAAACCAGGAAGAAGTTGAATCCCTGAAGAAACCAATAGCAGGCTCTGAAATTGAGGCAATAATTAATAGCCTACTAACCAAAAAAAGTCCAGGACCAGACAGATTCACAGCTGAATTCTACCAGAGGTACAAAGAGGAGCTGGTACCATTCCTTCTGAAACCATTCCAATCAATAGAAAAAGAGGGAATCCTCCCTAACTCATTTTATGAGGCCAACATCATCCTGATACCAAAGCCTGGCAGAGACACAACAAAACAAGAGAACTTTAGACCAATATCCCTGATGAACATTGACACAAAAATCCTCAATAAAATACTGGCTAACCAAATCCAGCAGCACATCAAAAAGCTTATCCACCATGATCAGGTGGGCTTCATCCCTGGGATGCAAGGCTGGTTCAACATATGCAAATCAATAAACGTAATCCAGCATATAAACAGAACCAAAGACAAAAACCACATGATTATCTCAATAGATGGAGAAAAGGTCTTTGACAAAATTCAACAACCCTTCATGCTAAAAATTCTCAATAAATTCAGTATTGATGGAACGTATCTCAAAATAATAAGAGCTATTCATGACAAACCCACAGCCAGTATCATACTGAATGGGCAAAAACTGGAAGCATTCCCCTTAAAAACTGGCACAAGACAGGGATGCCTTCTCTCACCACTCCTATTCAACATAGTATTGGAAGTTCTGGCCATGGCAATCAGGCAAGAGAAAGAAATAAAGGGTATTCGATTAGGAAAAGAAGAAGTCAAATTGTCCCTGTTTGCAGATAACATGATTGTCTACTTAGAAAACCCCATTGTCTCAGCCCAAAATCTCCTCAAACTGATAAGCAACTTTAGCAAAGTCTCAGGATACAAAATTAAAGTGCAAAAATCACAAGCATTCTTATACACCAATAACAGACAAACAGAGCCAAATCATGAATGAACTCCCATTCACAATTGCTTCAAAGAGAATAAAATACCTAGGAATCCAACTTACAACAGATGTGAAGGACCCCTTCAAGGAGAACTACAAACCACTGCTCAATGAAATAAAGGAGGACACAAACAAATGGAAGAACATTCCATGCTCATGAACAGGAAGAATCAATATCGTGAAAATGGCTATACTGCGCAAGGTAATTTATATATTCAATGCCATCCCCATTAAGCTACCAATGACTTTCTTCACAGAATTGGAAAAAACTACTTTAAACTTCATATGGAACCAAAAAAGAGCCCGCATTGCCAAGACAATCCTAAGTCAAAAGAACAAAGCTGGAGGCATCATGCTACCTAACTTCAAACTATACTTGAAGGCTACAGTAACCAAAACAGCATGGTACTGGTACGAAAACAGAGCTATAGACCAATGGAACAGAATAGAGCCCTCAGAAATAATACCACACATCTACAACCATCTGATCTTTGACAAACCTGAGAGAAACAAGAAATGGGGAAAGGATTCCCTATTTAATAAATGGTGCTGGGAAAACTGGCTAGCCATAAATAAAAAGCTGAAACTGGATCCCTTCCTTACTCCTTACACAAAAATTAATTCAAGATGGATTAGAGACTTAAATGTTAAACCTAAAACCATAAAAACCCTAGAAGAAAACCTAGGCAATACCATTCAGGACATAGGCATGGGCAAGGACTTCATGTCTAAAACAGCAAAAGCAATGGCAACAAAAGCCAAAATTGACAAATGGGATCTAATTAAACTAAAGAGCTTCTGCACAGCAAAAGAAACTACCATCAGAATGAACAGACAACCTACAGAATGGGAGAAAATTTTGGCAATCTACTCATCTGACAAAGGGCTAATATCAAGAACCTACAAAGAACTCAAACAAATTTACAAGGAAAAAACAAACAACCCCATCAAAAAGTGGGCAAAGGATAAGAACAGACACTTCTTAAAAGAAGACATTTATGCAGCCAACAGACACGTGAAAAAATGCTCATCATCACTAGCCATCAGAGAAATGCAAATCAAAACCACAATAAGATACCATCTCACACCAGTTAGAATGGCGATCATTAAAAAGTCAGGAAATAACAGGTGCTAGAGAGGATGTGGAGAAATAGGAACACTTTTACACTGTTGATGGGACTGTAAACTAGTTCAACCACTGTGGAAGACAGTGTGGCGATTCCTCAAGGATGTAGAACTAGAAATACCATTTGACCCAGCCATCCTATTACTGGGTATATCCCCAAAGGATTAAAAATCATGCTGCTATAGACACATGCACACGTATGTTTACTGCAGCACTATTCACAATAGCAAAGACTTGGAACCAACACAAATGTCCATCAATGACAGACTGGATTAAGAAAATGTGGCACATATACACCATGGAATACTATGCAGCCATAAAAAAGAATGAGTTCTCGTCCTTTGTAGGGAAATGGATGCAGCTGGAAACCATCATTCTCAGCAAACTATCACAAGAACAGAAAACCAAACACTGCATGTTCTCACTCATAGGTGGTAACTGAACAATGAGATCACTTGGACACAGGAAGGGGAACATCACACACTGGGGCCTGATGTGGGGTGGGGGGAGGGGGGAGGGAGAGTATTAGGAGATATACCTAATGTAAATGACGAGTTAATGGGTGCAGCACACCAACATGGCACATGTATACATATGTAACAAACCTACACGTTGTGTAAACGTACCCTAGAACATAAAGTATAATAAAAAAAAATCATATCAAGTGTGAAATAAAGAAAATATAAGAGAGAATAGAATCTATAAATATGCATGTTTGCATACATACATCCACATACATACATATGTGTGTGTATGCAGTAATTTATTCCTAAGCAATGCCTCTGCCTCCACCCCACTGTACATGTCCTAGTCCTGGAACTGAGCACCTGACTTCCTCTCTGCCTCCACATGAACAGGGAATAGAATGGAACTACACTCTGGTTACTGTTGTGAAAATCCATGTCCCCCCAGGCTAGTTTGGCATCTTACATTCCAGTTCCCATTGTAAAAAAAAGCAAGCAACAAACAAAAACTACAAAAGAAAAAATGAAATATTTAAAAGTCTAGAGCCACAGAGGTTCCGAATTCACCCACCACCCACAGTGACCTCTGCCGCCCTCCAGACCTGAGGGCAGTTGCGCCTGAACAGCCTGCCTCTTCACCATCCATGAAAAGAGGTAACCTTAAACTTCAATAGATTTTACTCTGTTCAAAAGGAACCAGGTCAACATTCAAAGTCAGTGGTCTGACAACTCTAAGCTTTGGCCAGAAAGTATTGGAAACATTTAACGTGCAGTGGATGAAGGAGCCTGGCCCCACTGCACACAACACACCCGTGGGGACTCAAAGGAGGATACTCAAGATACGCTGGGTGGAAGTGAGGACAGACCCAGAAACACGGCGGGTAGGGGGGTCAAACCAGGAAGGCTCAGGCCCTGACCTCCTCCTAGGCCCTGCCCCTCCAGAACTTGCAGGTTTTTCTGACCCGGAAGTGGATTTCACTGATGGAAAAGAGTATTTCTGGTCCAGCCCTGTAAGCTGCTCCCGTCGCCCAGCCTTCCACACCCCTGCAGACGTCACAATCCCTACTCCCACTAACCTGACAAGGGAGCTATGCATCGCCTGGAGATGGTCCTTGGCCTGCAACCCGGCGATGGGGTCCAGGGTCTGTGTCCATTTCTGGTTAAAATTGCTCTAAGGCTGGTCGCTGTCTTGGCCTTCCCTGCTTCCTCTCTGTTCAGTTCTCCCCTTCTCACCCCATATGAAGCTTTTACTCAGGAGATGGATTATCGCCCCTCTTGGAACATCAAGGACACCACCAGGATACCACACTGTCTCCTTGACCCTGGGATTCTGCAGACCTCAGTCTTCTCCTGAGGTCCCCTCACTCCCTACCTAATTTTTTCCATCCTTCTGGGGCCTGGGTCTGCTACACCTCAGGCTTCCTCTTCACAGTCACAGAGGGAGCCCCCTTCATCCTTGGGCTCTGGCCACAGTTCACCTGCTGCAGGATACTCAGTGGCTTTCAGTAGTTCATCCAGACATCCAGTTGGAAGTAGGATTTCCTGGAAGGAAAGCAGGACCCCAGAATTACACCGAATTCTAACACAAGAGCCCAGATTCCCCTTCTGCATGGGACATTAAGCTGCAAACACTACATAGGCACTTAATGCTCAGCTGCCCTTTTAACATCTGGTTCAATTGTGTCTCTCCTCCTTGGAATATCTCAGAAAATATATCTCCACCTAGAGTTGTTTAAACGCATCATCCTATGTGATTCCAGACCATCAGGGGGTACAATGGGTCCTCACCAGAACTTCCACACAGCTTGGAAGACTTAGAAAATCCTGAGGCTGCTCAGAGGGTCAGATTCCCATTTCTGTGTTTCAGAAAAACTTCAGTCTTCAGTCTTCCCCAGACAAGTGAGGAGACAGAAAATGTCTAGTCTCTGGCACATCTTTTGCAAGCAATGGTGGCTCCCAGGAATCAAAACTATCAATGAATATATTTTTGAGACTCTGGTCAAAAAAAGAGTCATTCTGCAATTTGAGGTAAGATGGAGTGGTTCTGTGGCTCCTGAGGTGATTTTGAAAAGATCTGGACTCTCAAAAGGACCATGGAGGACATTTCTGGCATTTCCAGACCAGGAGGAGTGACTGATAGACCTCTAGTGTTACTAGGAAAACTTTTTGTTGGACAGCTTTGCTTTGGATTTCAGGCCTTCACATAGGTTGCGTAGATCATGGAAGTGTTTCTGCATTTCTGCATAGGCTCAGGATGCCTTCTCAAGTCGTCCCTGCAATTATGAGACAGTTTCTGTCTCCAGAGGTCACTTAGAATAACACAAGAGGCTTCACCTTCAAAGGGATACCAGACAATATAGCCACAGTTCAGCCAAGATTATCTGTGTTTACATACCTGTAAAGTAACACTCCTAGTTACCTCCATTAACTTGGACATCTTTCATGAATAAGAGAAACTCTAGTGATTGTTATATAACAGCTGCCACAAAAATTAACCAATAAAAATAAATGATAAATGAAAAATAATTAATAATTATGATAATGAACACAATGACCTAAATAGTAAGAATTTTAATACTGGTGACAATATGAACATAAGGATACAAAAATCAATGTGGAGATTCTCCTAAATATACGAAAAGTTCACAAATTGGGTCCTCCTTGTGTAATTTGGAGTCAGAGTCAAAGAATTTCACTATGAAATGTGTTCCATGATGGCAAACATGAGAAACAGGAGGTGAAAGGAAAGCAAGCCACAGGAGAGCATGGGCTAATAGGACCACTTGTGTGCAAACCTCTTTAGTCAAGGACTACCAGCCAGAAGTGAAGAGAGTTTGGCTTGTGTCTTGCCTACCACTGGGCACACAAAAGCTTTCAGTAGTGCAACCAGATGGCTGGTTTGGCCTGGCTCCCTGCAAAGAAGACATGTATCTGATCCCCACGAGACCATCAGTCCTGGAACTCAGAATCCTACATGCAGTAAACATGAAGCTCCAACTCTATAGCTGACTTCACCTCCTTACTGTCCTTCTGCCATCTGGTGTTTCAGGTGCTCTCCAGATCTGGACTTCTTGGCTCCACTACCTTTATCATGTGAAGTCAGGATGTATCATTCTCAGTGTTCTCCTGCCAGTCCAAGGTGAAACTCACCAATACAGGCATACCCTGGATGGACTTCCTTGGGATATTTAGAAAACAATGAGCTTGCTCGGGGGTGGTGTGAGCCCTAGGAGTAGAGTTACAGTCTCCCATGGAAACCTGAGAGGACTTAGAATATTCCCAGAGGCCTAAGCAGTCCAATCTGCCCTGGAAACATCAGGAATGATATACTTGGTCTTCCTGAGGCTCCAAACTTTTTCTAAATAAACTCATAGGTTACAGAACCATTTTTCTCTCAGGAACTGAAGTGGAGTTATTTGCCTTCTGCCAGCATCTCACTTTTTTTATTTTCTAAGTTAGATTTTGAGCCCAGAAGTAGATATTCCTTGTATTTGATTTACACAGGGAGCTTCCTAGAATGGATACTTTCTGCATTCACTCAGGTATTCACAAAATGCTGCAGTTCTACTGAAAATCTATGACATGACCATTTGATCACCCGAGCAACTTTAGAATGTGTCTTCTATGGAAGCTCTGGAGCCTCCCTTCTGGTATTTCATCCACTGCTGGTACTGAGTACCCAGGGTGAAACCCTCCCTCAGACATTGTCAGCAATTCCAGTATGGAGATGGCACTGACGTGATGGGGCTCAAGAATCAGATGGTAGAAGACCAGCCAGGAGGTGAAGTCTCAGTAGGCTTGGGGGCTTAATGTTCAATGCACACCAGACTTCTGAGACTCAGGAAGCGGGTGTGGATCTGTCTGCCCAGTGTTTCTCATCTACAGCCTGGACCAGCCATTTCTTGGGGTGAACTACTGAAAGCTTTTGTATGACCTGTGTCAGGCAGGACTCTGGCCAGACCCTTTTCCATAGTCCATTTGTAATGTATTTCCACGTGGCGCAGCCATCTCCACTTTTGCCCAAGCCCTCATGTGGCTCAGAATTATTCTCCCTACTGCCACTCTTCTTTGCCATCACAGAAGACATTTCAAGATGCAGCCCCAAGCCTCTCCCTGTAATCAATAACATGAGGGCTCACATGGGAACAATGTCACAGGCTTACAGGAATATGCTCTTAAATATCTGCTTTTTTATTATTCTCTTCATTAAAATGACATTTATATCATCACCATTGTGATTGTTATTAATGTTATTATTATGTGGGTACAGTTCTTTATCACGGATATATTTCTGGTAGTTATTATGCAATGTTGAATAATTTTTTTAATGTTCTGAAGACTGTTGAATTTGCTGAAGCTGATTAAAAGACAACCTGAAAACATACATACCACAGCAACCCCAAGACTCCTACTGTACCAGCTGGTGTCCTGTAGAAGAATGGGCTTCCTGACTTATTCTTTTCTTTTTCGGGCAAGTACCTATTCATACCAGCATAGGAGATGGATGAAGTGCACCCTGGTCTTGCCATGGGCTCAGAAAGAATTCATACATATGCTTTATGTGCTAGGAATTCTATGTGTAGGCCTGTGAGCCCTAGAATGCACTTTCTTTCACCAACTAGTCCACCTAAAAGTTTTCTAAGTCAAATTCCCCCTCCATGCTTGGATAGGTCATGAATGGCTTTCTGTTACCCACCTAAGATGAAGGGATATTGCTAAATCAGGTTTGTGGCCAAGAAACGTTTACCTGGAGTGGCAGGAGAGGGACTACCTGTTCATCAGAGTCTCTGCAACATTTTCTTTTTCTTCTTTTTTTTTTTTTTTTTTTTTTTTTTTTTGCGATAGAATCTCGCACTGTCGCCCAGGCTGGAGTCCAGTGGCACAATCTTGGCTCACTGCAACCTCTGACTCCCAGGTTCAAGTGATTCTCCTGCCTCAGCCTCCTGAGTAGCTGGGTTACAGGTGCATGCCACCACGCCCGCCTAATTTTTGTATTTTTAGTAGAGACGGGTTTTCAGGCTGGTCTCAAACTCCTGACCTAGAGATCTGCTGGCCTCGGCCTCCCAAAGTGCTGGTATTACAGGCATGAGCCACTGCGCCCAGCCCCTGCAACATTTTCTAAGTCAGTACAGTAGTTCTTTGAACCACCTTTTCAGTCAAAGAACTCATGAAAAAGTCCTCCAAGAACTTGTGACCTTCTGGAAATTGTCAAAATCTCTACAGGTGTCCAGAGTCATCCAGAGCTGTATTGCAAACCACTGACTGGGTTCCACCATTATTAAAGCAAATGCAAAATATGCCATGCCCACCAAAAAAAATCCAGAAGCCATGGTATTTAGCTCTTTCCATCTTTCTTGCCTCCTGCAGGTGGGAGAGTACTGAGTATGATGCCCTCCTACAGCCTCTGGAGGACATGCCAGTGCCTAGAGATACCAGTAGAGAGGGGCCATGAAAGAGCAGATGACAGCCAGGTGGCTGGGAATGACATTGTCCTGGGGTTTATTGCTTGTCATGAACTCTGCCACCGGGCAATATGTACGGGTCTGGACCCGTGCCTTCTCTGGATCCCTGCCCCATCAGCCAGCTATCTTATCTCCTGAAAGCTGGTAGGTGTTGGTCAGCATGGTGTTGCAGGACCAGGGTTATATTAACATTCCCTCTTAGGCTGAAACACCAGAAGTTAACACAGGAGTCTCCAGGTGTGCACATGCCAACGTCCAGATTGTTTTTCTTCTCATTCTAGATGTTCATCCTTGCTTTCTGGGACTTGAAATAACCCTACACTGCCAAATATTTATGCCCATTATCCACTTAGGGAAAACTCGTATGTCCCAAGTCCATAGGGTTAGTATTATTATCAGTATTATAACCACTAGTACTAGTATCATGATGATCATCATTCCTGTTAATATTCATCAATATTTTTATTACTACCATTGTTAATATGGATTTTTCATTATTGTACAGCAAGGAATATAGTTTATCCATTCACAAATGGTGTTCAGTTACTAAAGATGACTACAAGGCATGCTCTGCAGACATATACACACACAGCTGTCCTGGAGACCCAGCTTTGCCACCAATTGCTCTCTCATAAGATGAGCTCCCCCTATACCCACCAGTTTTTCACGACTTGACCTGAGCTGGTTGGGCTAGACCTGGAAAAGCTTCCTATTCTCAGCTGTACCTGGAAAAATTTTAAAGACTCTTCGGAGGCCCAGTAATAGCTTTTGGCAGCTTCCACGACCAGGGAGGGTTTCTTGGCCATTCAGAGCCATTCAAATATTCTAAGTAAACTCAAGGAACCGGAAACCCCACTTGCAGTCATGAAATACCAGTGAATGGCCTCTGTGAGTCTCTTCAAGTTTTTCAAAGATAACCGCCTGGAAAGGCTGGCCAGGAAGTCACCCAAGCCCACCCCTCTGCAGGATGTTCTATGTCAGCCAGGGACCCAGTGAATTGCCATTGAACAGAAGGGTGGAACAGAGACAGCATGCCTGAGCTTCTGGAAACATTCTAAGTGCCCTTGTTGGCCCAGAAAAGACTGGTGCTGCCATACGAGGCACAGATATGGCAACTTAGCCACTCGAGGAACCACACAAGGTTTAAAAGCTCCCAGGAAGTCCAGGAAGGGCAAACATGGCCTTTTAGAGCCATCAGATTTTATTCTAAGTCTACGTGGGAGACAGTGCACTTGGCTTCATAAAAACACCAGTGGAGGTGCTATCACCTGCCCCAGTATCCGGTCTTTTCCACCTCATCTCAGAGCCAGGCAGCCACCATTTCCCAAAGCTGCTGTGCAATGAAAGGGGAATATTCTAGGTGCTCTCCTGTGCCCACGAAATTCTGTGGCTGCACTAAAGGCAGAAGTTGTCCTCCGGAATGCTCTTCAGGAATCTGACAACACTAGTCAAGATTAAAGAAGTTCAATTCAACGTCACACAAAACCAATCACCAAAAAAAAAAAAAAAAAAAAAAAGCATAGTGAGACAAAATGATGAACACATCTGCTAATAATCATGAATGACAATAACAACAATGATGATCTTAGTGATAATGCCACCAACACTGTTAATGGCAGTAACAATAAACCTGAGGTAATGGGTGTTAGGGTCCCGATTCACCGATGTGAAGGATGGCGCCAATTTCTGGCCTTACAGAAATAAAGGAAAAGTAAACACCTGAAGGAGGAGAAGGTGAACCTGGAGCTCCCGCCGGCCTCTGGGGGCTCCTTGGTGGAAGGAGAGGGACTTGGTCCTGAGTCTGCACAGGATCCACCCGCACCAGAACCCGGGAGTCCCAGTCCCTGGATGGGTTCAGTCCCACCCAGGCCAGATGCCTGGAGCCCCGGAGCCCGGGTCCTCCAGCCCTCGCTGCCGCCGCTCCTCGCGGAGCCCGGACCCCCCGCGCCACCTCAGCCTCAGCGCGGCTCTGCGAGGGCAGCTCCAAGGATGCTCCGGGCCCAGCGGGGGCATCCGGCCCCAACAGGATACTGACGCCCTGAGGGCGCGAAATAGCGCGGCCTGAGCAGGGCCCGCCATCTTGGGCCTTGCAAAAAGAGCGGCCTCTTCAACGCCCCCACCCGGAACCTCCCCAGAGGCCCCAGCCCCAAAGCCAGGGCGGCGGCGCGTCCCTCACCCTGGGTAAAGAAACCTCAGGTCTTCCGTGGAGACCTGGCTCGCCGCGGGAAGCAGACCGCGCATGCGCCCTGCATGGCCGGAACGATGGGTTTCATTGCCCTCTGCCGGCCATGAGGTGGCAGCACAGGACGTTTGGCCTTTAGCGGTGGACCTGAGTCTGAATCACTGAAATTCAGGTATGGATTATTCAGTACCTTTCTTTTGGAAGATCAAATGGAAATTGAGTACGATATCTTGTGCTTTAATTAAAGAATATGGGAATAAAGAAAAAAATTCGAAAGTTAGTATACAAAAGTCGATTGATTCCCTCTATATGAAGGGAAGAAGAGCTTGAATAAGAGAAGCATTCTGTGCTATGCTTTAATGCTGGAGATCTGCCACCATGCATTTGTCAAATCCCGTAGAATTTCACAGCACAAATAGTACATCTTAATGTGCCTCAGGACTACATATAATGTCAGCCACAGTTTGAGGGTAAATTACATATTTAATTAAATAGATTAAACAATAAATAATGTTATGAGCTCTGCCTGGACACAATCCTTGCCTCTCCAACCAGTTTGCCAAGGGCTCGAATTTCTTGCTCGTTATCCTCACACTTGACATAAACCCTGGCTGCAGAGTAAAATCAATCACTTGTGGAGATATTTTAATATAATGATGTGTCAATTTCAACCATGGATAAGGCCATTTAGCCTTAGTAAGGCCTATCGTATTAAGATTGTGCCTGTTTTGCAAAATTTCAAGTCATCATCCCACTTATTATTCAGGAAACGTTTTATCTTGAGTTTTAGGTTCAGTACTGAGGCTCCTTGATGGACAATACATTTTCCAATTCTGAGGACAAGGCAGAGGAGGCCCCCTCTGTGAGAACTTTCATTTTGCTTCTGGAAAAGTACGTTGAATCAAATATAGGAAAGGCTTGCATGGTGGCTGACAGGTTCGGCTGTTTTATCATGCTGGTGTTTTATCTTCTGGACAGAAGTAAAAGGAACACAGCTGTGTCTGTCTCTGTGTAATAACTCAGGACTTACCTGAATAAACTCTGGGGTGTCATGAGATGAACTGCTACCTCCACTTAGAGAGGCTTCAGGGACAAAATTTCAAGAGATTTCTGAGGGATAGAAGAGCAGGGCTGCCTTATTCTCTGATCTCAGGTAACTACTCAGAGACAGAGGCAAGGGTTGGGGACACCCAAATGCATATACTAGGTGTCTTCGATACCGCCTCCATTTGCTTGCTAAATCTATGCAATGACACACTGAGAAATCTGGCGAGTGGGGCTGAAGATCCCTGATGTGTCAGTTCCAGGGTTGGATGGAAACAAGTGGTTTCAGTGGACATTGAAGTAAAGGGAGGTGAGCTGTGAGGAAAGAGCCGTTGAAGACTGGGGAGACTCAGAAGTTGGGGTAGAATCTCGACCCATAAGCCAAGGAGTGCAGATGCAAATCGATTTGTTAGGGCTGCATAAATGAAAGAAGGACTTCGCCAACACACTAAGTTTTTTCAACAACCAATTGCATTCTTTCAATATTTGCAAGTATTGATCTTTTGGAAATGTTTAATGAGATTTCTTATATAATTCTGCATTCAATTTATGCTCAGGTCACTTTGCTATTATACATTTACGTGCTGCATTTTTATGAATAGACATTTTCTCAAATTTCTTAATTATTTTGCTAAACTATGTGTTAAGAGTTTTTTCTAGAGGTCCACCTTCTTGACTCACTTTTCTGATGAGAAATCTATCAGGTTTCTCCACAGTGATTTTCAAGTTTGATAGCTCCTCGATGTGGGAAACAATGTCAACTAAGAAATGAATTACCACTAAAGAATCTTCTCCTTTCAAGATGCTAACCGTGTTTTGTCCAGTGTGAAATCTCACATGTGCCACAAGCGTTACTCTGTGAAGAAAGGATTTCTCATGATTTTTCAAGGCATAACTTCTCCAGTAAGAAGTGTTTGGTATTCCAAGAGAATTCATTGCCCTTGGAAAGACTTTTCCTTCTTATTTAGCTTATAAAGGATTTCCTCTCTTATTTTCCGTTTTAGTAGCATTTTATCACTGTGTTTTCTTGTGAACATCAAGCCTAGTGCTTGGCTGAATGTTTATTCACAGAAAATACAAATAAAGGGTTCATCCAAGTAAAGTTTTCTTACGTTATTTGACAACAAATTGCACATAAAAACATTTTCACACTGAACGCAGAACTAGAGATTCTCTACCTGAAAGTCCCACACGTTTTAAGTTTTTAAAACTGTTGCTGAAGACTTTTAGTTTATTATGTTGACAGTTTCAGCTCTCCCGTGTCATTTATGATCAGATCACTAACAAGTCTTTGGTACACACATGTCGTACAATTTCTCTTCCATATGAATTTATTGATGTGGACTGAAGAATAAAGGTAACTGAAGTAACGTCCATGTTGATTACAGTAATTCTTCAAAATGTGAGTCTTTTGGCATGTTTAGATGTTACAACTACAGCTAAAGTCTCTTCCATATTCCTCACATTCGTCATTCCTAACACCATGTCATCTAAAGTCAGAATATGTTCTGAAGACATTTATAATTTTCTCTCCAGGGTGAATTTTCTGATGTTATTTAAGATTAGTACGTTGACTGAAGGCTTTCCCACATAAATGGCATTCATATGGCTTTTCTCCAGTGCATGTTCTCTCATATCATCTAAGGTCAGAAGATACACTGAAGGCTTTCCCACATAGAAGACAAGCATGTGGTTTCTCTTCAGTGTGAATTCTTGTGTGTCCTCTAAAGCCAGAGCTTTGACTAAAGACTTTCCCACTTTTATCACATTCATAACGCTTTTATCCAAGGTGAGTTCTCTTATGTCTTCGAAGGTTAAAGGATTGAATAAAGCCTTTCCCACACTGATGACACTTATACGGTCTCTCTCCCGTGTGAGTTTTCTCATGTCTTCTAAGGTGAGGACGCTGAGTGAAGGATTTTCCACATAGATGACATGCATATGGCCCGTCTCCAGTGTGAGTCATCTTGTGCCGTCTAAGGTGAAAGCAATTAGTATAGGCCTTTTCACATATATTACATTGATATGATTTACCTTTAGTATGAATTTGTTTATGTGGTTTAGGGGACAACTGATTACTAAGGGATTTTCCACACTGTTTGCTGACGTAGGGTTTCTTTCCACTCTGAGTTAACAAACACTGAGTCATTGTGGAACTGTGAGTGCAATCTTCTCCCAAATCATTACATTCAAAGGGATCCTCCAGAATGAGGGAGTTCTCCTTTAGAGACAAAGATTAAAAGCTCTTAATGATTTACCGACATACATCTAGACATTCATTTCACCACCTTTGAATCCTAGACCAACCATTCAGTGGTAGAGCTCAGTTGAAATCTTTCCAATGTTACTTGTGTGAAAGGAAATTAGATTTTGGCACCCCAAACTCATTTAACCAAAGGGAACAATCAAGCTGGGAACAGGGTCACACAAACCTGCCTCCCCCTTCTGGTTCCTAAGTAATATGGCTACAAGATGAAAAGCTACATGCCTCCCCCATATTTTGCCCACAAAGAAATTCCTGATGAGCTGTTAAAATTACATCATGGCAATGCAAACTGATAGCTTGTCTTTACAGGTGCAGTCATCCCCAGTTCACCAGACACAAATGCATATCCGATTGTTTCCCTGCCCCGTTTTGCCTATATTGTCTTATATAAAATGCAGCTTTCCAGCATTATTCCTCTGCCTCATTTGTTTATGTCATCTTATGTAAAAAAAATCCAGATTCACTGAGCCAGAAAAATGCATGAATGACTATTTTTTTCTACCCACCTTTTACATGAAAATTGTGTACTTCTCAATATCCCACCCTTTCCCCCTTTAAATTTAGAGAAAATCATCTTTGGAGAAAGATATACACCTGTCCCCCAGGTGCATGTCCTTAACTCTGGCAAATAAATCTCCTAAAATGATTGAGACTTGTCTCGTCATTTTTCTCGATTGACACTTGCGTACACATTATCTCCTGCAGACTCAGATATTTTTTCTTTTGTAAGAGCCCAACTGCAGAGTTATTCCATTAATTGTGATGATATCAATATCCTTCAAAGTCTGAGCATGAGCAATGTATATGCACTTGTTCTACTTTAAAGATCTCATGTTATGGTTTAGAACACAGGTCATTTTATTCACTAAATTCAAAGTATCACATTTTTTTTTTTTGCTTAGAAAGCACTTAATGCCAGCCTAATTACACTCAGGTGACTGTGCGTCATTACTAACTTAACCCATTACCAGGTCTTTAACTTAGATGACTGGTGTACACAGCTATAAAACTTACCATTGTCATACTGGTGGATGCGTCTTTTCTGATAGGATGCATGGATATTGTGTGTTTTTTCTTAAGGGCACTTTCCTTGTCTGAAATAATTGAAAAATAAATTGTTACCTTGGTATTATGGTAATAAAATTAATTGAAAAACCCCAAGGCCCGTTTACTTTTTCTCAAAAATTGACACTTAGATGTGGCAAATGTGTCAAATGAAGAAAATACTTCAATAGAAGAAACAGATTGTACAGCGTCAGCAATTAGAAAAGAGTTTTAAAATTAAAATGTGAAAAGAGTTAAAATGGACATGAGATATCAGGCAGGTAAATAGAGGGATAGTCTTCACAGGGGTATCGGGAAAAGAGTCAGCATGTGACAGTTTAACCCCAACAAGTACATGAATTATCCTTTCCCCGAAAGTAAAACAAAAGGCAAGACGAGGCGGGCGGATCACAAGGTCAGGAGATCGAGACCACGGTGAAACCCCGTCTCTACTAAAAATTACAAAAAATTAGCCGGGCGCGGTTGTGGGCGCCTGTAGTCCCAGCTACTCGGGAGGCTGAGGCAGGAGAATGGCGTGAACCCGGGAGGCGGAGCTTGCAGTGAGCCGAGATCGCGCCACTGCACTCCAGTCTGGGCTGGGCGACAGAGCGAGACTCCGTCTCAAAAAAAAAAAAAAAAGGCAAGAGGACATAAGAGTAGCATCTGACATATGAACAAAATGATAATAACATCTAAGGAATTCTGCTCCGGTAGCTTAACCTACATTTTAGAAATTACCACTCATTTCATAAAACCGCTAATTAATATTTGACTGATATTATTCATTGACAAAGCACCTCCTCCTATTAGAGCACAGGACCCTGTTGCTTACCCAGATTCTGGCCTTGGAGAAATTCTCTTCCTTCCCGCCAGAGCTCTTTTCCTTGCTCCAGCTGCAAAGTTATGTAGGATTTGCTTATCTGGTACCCTGTTAGTGGAAACAGTACGTGTGTTTTGAGTTCACTGTCAATAAATGTGCATTATCACCAACTGTAAGGCAGGCTACCGAGGAAGAATAAAAACAGTGAAGGTCAGCTCAGGCCACAAGACCTAGAACACAGAAAACTCCCCAGGATTTTTTTGACCCAACATGAGACTAGAAAATAAATCCAAATGAAAGGTCCATCAGGAAAAGGAAATTCAAAACAGTCAGGACCTATGAATGCTGAGTCCATGCCTAAGTTCCAAGACACAATGCATAATACACAGTCTTTTCAGAAAGAGATTAATTAAATCTCTGCACAGTATGTTTATTATTATTCTCTTGCAGAACAAAAAAAAAAAATCCGATTTACAAAAATAATTGGTGTTCTATACAGAAAAGATATTGCTATTGTTTTCACTAATTGGTTTCAGCCTAAGCATAGCGACTAAAGCAGAAGAGTTATTTAGAAAATATTTAATTTAATACATTGAAAATATTCATTAAGTTCCCAGGTCTGTTCTGAGTATTAGACACTGAGTACCAAAGAAACCATGAAATCCTTGTCAAGATTACATTCTAATTGAGTGACAAACTAAATAAAACTAAATAAAATAAAATAAAATAAAGATATTTCTTTCAGACAGATTTAGAGAGCTCAAACTTTTTTCAGGTAAGATCTGTGAGAGAATCAGAGAAGAGATTAGAGTGAGATATGGGGAAGCTGTTCCAACACTTATTGAATGAATGAGTCAATGTGTGTCTACATACGTATGTGAATGTTGAGGACTCACCGAGGGACACCAGGTGACTGACGTTTTCCAGGATTACATCTCTGTACAGCTTTCTCTTGGATGTGTCCATCATGGCCCACTCTTCCTGGGTGAAGTCAATAGCTACATCTTCAAAAGTCACTTTCTTCTAAAACATCACAGACATTTTAGTTTAGACAGAGAATCCCTTTTAACGTGCAGAGGAGGAAGGCTGAGATGACACAGGTAGGAGCTGGGTATGCAGAACACCCAGTGTTTTAGCTTCCAGCCAGTTCATTCTCAATACTAAGCTGGTATCTGCCTTTCAGATTCACTCACAGAGACGTACCCACTCTTAATCCATTAAACTTTACTATGAAGAAATATCGCATGAGGTGTGGCATAATATAGCCCAGATATTTTTCAGTAATGTGTTAATCACCTGTACATAACTGATTATAAAATTTTCGCTTGAACCTTCATAAATAAAACAAATTTACCATGAATTTCAAGTAAATTACAGATTTGTCACAAGGCAAATAACCATGATTTACTACTTTTTAAACATGACCGTGATTAAATAAATTATTTCTCTAGATAAACCACAGGTTTCTCACCAATCAAATGGTTAAAAGACCTATTATGTGCTTTGAATAATCTAAAGAAGTAACAGAAAACATGTTTCCTACCTAGCAAATATTTATTAAATACAGGTCATTGGTCCCTTATTCATTAAAAAGTTAGAAAGTAATGAACCAGACTCCAGCATTCTTCAGAACTGAACAAGTTTTATGCAGAATATAGGATTCAATTTATACATAGAGTCACTCTAATGTTATGTAATTCAGGTGTTCATGACAAGGCTTGAAGACAGTCCAGCAGCACAAGACAAGACCGCTGAGGCTGCTACACTGAGGAAGTCTTAGTCTGATGATTCCTGTGATATGAAGCCTCCTGTTCTCAACTGTCTCTGGGCAATCCAAACATCAGTTATCACTGCCTCTCTTTTAACTTTACCTTGTCACTTGGCTTGTTCAAGGATAAAAAGGCCTCTTTACTGTTTTGTTTTTTTCTAACCAGCCCTTATGAAGCATTTCCACAGAACCCTAAATTGTACTCTATCTACTATATTCCTTCTCCTGAGTGTGCAACCATAATTAAGTAATTGTATTTCTTATATGTTACTTTCAGTTACCAGAAGGCAAAAAGGTTAATTATCAAAAGGTAAAACGAATGGGGATAAGCATAATAATGACTTCTTTAGTTGTCCTTTTGCAAAGTTTTTAAAAGCACAAATATATTTTATCAAATTCTTCTTTTTCCTCAACTCTGTGCAGCTCTTGCCCAAGGCCTATCACATGGGATTTATTGAACTCAGCTGCTAGAACATCAGCCTCATTATTGGGCTGTGATCTTCTGCTCTTCACCCATCTCTATTGCCTGCATTCATCACAATCCTAAGTCTATTTCAGCCAACGGTACAGTTAATGGGTCAATTATTTCCCTATGAGGTTATAGGATGGATAGAAGAAAAAGAAATACATAAATGAGACCTCTCATGTCTTTTTTTGTAAATAGCCTGAATGGGGCTGGAATAAAGTAGTGTAATATTAGAAATTATATTGATAACTTAGGAATCTTTGACACATGATACCCAACCCAGAGTCCTGAGAAAACTTAATTGGAGGCCAGATACCTGAAAGTCTCCTGATTGCATTTGGAACACCCAGGCTGGATGGATTTTGCATCATAAAAACAAACAAAAAAAAGAATAAAAATGAAACACCCATGCAAACTGGAGAAAACTGCCCATTTGCCAGCAATATGGGTGTCATTTCAGCAGAAAGAGGCATCCCCTACTCACTAGTGAACGCATTGTCAAGAACTCAGTCTCTCTCTGTCTTCTTCTGGATTTCCACTTGCAGACACTTCAGGCACTAAGAAAAGCTGAGGTTGGAGAAAGAACACGTGAGACACCAGCCTTGTACACAATTTTCAGACCAACCTGTGATGAAAAGCCAGACCTTCACTGAAGTGTGACACCACCTGCACCACAGCCTGACCAACAGACACAAACACACAGAGGCCTCTCCTCTTTTCCCATGGTCAAAATTAGGAAGCCTATGACTATGGTTTCTGACAAAGAAGGAACACAGATATCTTGTGAACGAGAACATCAAAAGCACTGAGTTTTGTATGTTAATTGACACAAGTCCAGATATTCAATTCCCTCACTGATTTTAAAACACAGGGATCCCTGACTCCGCCCACATGTGGAATATGATTTCCACTTGCAGATAAACACTGTGGGATTTCTCAGATTTTATTATCCCAGCTTTATGCCCTAGCAATGTTTCTCCAACACCAATCACAGCCTTCTGAAGCCTCACTCCACTTTTACTTTCTCTCAATTTCGACTTTTGTATTTCCCCTTGGAACTCGGAAATCAATCAAGTAAGAATCTGTTTTAGGGTCAAGTGCGGTTGCTCTCACCTGTAATCCCAGCACTTTGGGAGGTCAAGACAGGTGGATCACCTGAGGTCAGGAGTTCGAGACCAGCCTGGCCAAAACGGTGAAACCCCATTTGTACTAAAAATACACAAATTAGCTGGGCATGGTGGTGCTTGCCTGTAATCCCAGCTACTCAGGAGGCTGAAGCAGGAGAATCGCTTGAACCCAGGAGGCAATTACAGTGAGCCGAGATCCTAACACTGCACTCCAGCCAGGGCGACAGAGCAAGACTCTGTATCAAAAAAAAAAAAAAGAAAAGAAAAAAATCTGTTTTAGGATGGGGATAATCAATTCAGGAATTTATTTCACTTGGAGGGTCAACACTCCCATACTGCTGATCTAGCCCTTAAAATCCCCTGCATCAGAAATTCGCAGCAGTACCCTGGGTCATGGTGTTTCTGTCCTGTGTATACAGTCACAATCCTCTAAGATGCTCAGAAAATACAAAATGACTTAGGGCTGAGAGAAATGTAGCAGCTCAATCTGATATTTTACTAAGGTGGCATCTAAAATTCTTGCAATCATGGTTTATGTTAGTCTTTGTGAGTTGCAATATCTCTGATTATCATGATACATATTTGCTGAGAAATACTGATGTCCATGTGTATATTCATACATATGTAGGTATATAGATGGATATGCTTATATGAATGCATGTGTTTGAGATGGGGGAAAACATGCATGTATTATTTCCCTGCTAAAAATATAAAAATAATTAAATATATTTTATGTACAAATGATAATTATGTGTCATAAACAAAAAATTAACTGACCCATTTGTACATGAAGTCCAGGAAAAATAAAAAGGGTAACTTTGTATTAATTGTGACATTGTGCTTACAGATATACATAAATTTCCTTATTTAACCCTTATAATAACCCTGCTGATTATAGTTTATTTACCAGTTTAATAAACGATCAACAGAGTTTGAAAAATATGACAAAATTACAAAACTAGAAAATGACACAGCAATACTTCTAATTATATTCTGCCTTGTCACTGCCTCTTCTTGCTTTTTTACAAAATTACTCCCCTAACCAAGGTTCTCTATGATTCTGGGGACTCCAGGATTTAGACCCCAGTTCCCAAACTTCACTGTGTCTATTTTTACTGCCACATTTTAATGCACATTTACAGACTTCAACAAGCACTTTTCGATATCAACTTTTTTCTTATTCCTTGGACTATTTCCTACATCTGTTCATCAAGACTCCAGTAACATATGACTCCATCTGCCTGTCCCTTCCATGAATGTACCTGACAGTACATGTATTATGTAGTCTGTAATTCAAGCAGAACAGATATTCCTTCAAAAAAATAAGGTATTAGAGAATGCCTACAAAGCTTCAGTGAAACCAGCTGTAACCCTTAATATTATTACCATGTAAACTCTTCCTCGAATATCAAAATAAGATTTGGACTTTAGAGAATATTTGTGTGTGATTATAACCCAAACATGAACTAAAAGTAATTTAAATGGTCATATACAGACTGTGCCAGGGACAAAAAAGGACAACTATTATAAGAAAATTAAAGCACACTTATTTCCTAAAGAACTCTTGTGTGGAATCTATAAAAACTATTTCAAGATATAGAGATTAAATATATTTCAAAACACACACATACACAAGCAATCTTTAGGATAAATTTTTAAAAACTTATGGGTCCAAAATTTTCATTAATTCATGGAAAAAATGTATTGACAAACTTCTCACCAGAGCAGGAATAACAACTTACGTATTTGGTGACTTCAAGATGAGAGCCTGCACAGCTTAGTATCTCCCTCCAGATCTCTCTCTCTCTCTCTCTCTCTTTTTTGTTTTTTGACAGAGTTTCGCTCTTGTTGCCCAGGCTGGAGTGCAATGGTGAAATCTCAGCTCACTGCAACCTCCACCTCCCAGGTTCAAGCTATTCTCCTGCCTCAGCCTTCCAAGTAGCTGGGATGACAGGCATGCGCCACCACGCTTGGCTAATTTTGTATTTTCAGTCGAGACGGGGTTTCTCCATTTTGGTCAGGCTGGTCTGGAACTCCTGACCTCAGGTGATCCACCCACCTCAGCCTCTCAAAGTGCTGGGATTACAGGCGTGAGCCACAGCGCCCGGCCCAGATCTCTTAAAAAGTCATGAGGAAGGAGCCATTCTGCATCCTCAATATTACCTTAATATTTTAAGGACACCCATAACAATTAAGAGGCTGACTTGTGACTTCCTAGCCCTTTCAGGGCTATTTAGGCCCACCTTAGTGAAGTATTAGGAATGCAGTATTAGGTCTCAAGTTCCTGGACACCAAAACCATGTTCTCCAACAGATCTTCAGTAAAAATAGCTGATGTCTATATTCTTTTGCCTGTCCTTTCCCTTCCTTTTAATTCAGAACTGCGGTCTCAAAAAGTGCTATTATTTAGTAGATTCTCTCAATTCTCAACACCAGCGCTATACAGTGTTGAGTAACATCTCAGGTGCTAGGGAAACAGCAGCTGACATTCTAGCAATGCACAAATAGAAAAGCAAAGATCACCACAGAGTAAAAGAGAATAGATTTTTTAAAAGTATGAAACCAAAACAAATATATATCAGATTACACTATAAATGGAAAATCCTATTATCTTGACTGGATTGCAAGTCAAAACCTCTCATGGCTTCCAACATCCAATATATTCAAAGCAGTTCAGGAATGGTGAAAGTGGAATGGAATTTAAAATTATTCTAAGGTTGCATGTGTGAAAGCACCATGCCCTGAAACAAAATATTTATTTTTAAAGTGCATAATGAACACTGCATGCAAAGTTTGTGTAACAAGAGAGAGAAAAAATCTCACATTTTTAAAAAAGGAATATGCAACATATTTACATATAATAAAATAAAATTAAACTAAAATAACAACAATGGAAGACACAATCTGACCTCTGAAAATCAAGGGAGAAATCTCTTTTAAATAAACTTGGCACAATTTTTAAAGTAAGTTATGAAAAATAATAATACCTGAATATAGTATGTAAAAGTACCAACACAATAAAGCTAAAACAATATCTGTGGGAAAATTATTTGCTGTACATAATTTTTTAAAAATGATCTAAGTACTTTCCTCAAGAAGGTAAATGAATGAAATTTTAAAATTGCCTGAGAAAATCTGTGAAAGGAAATGAATATAGAGAAGCAGAATATAATTTAACTATAAACCACACAAATAGAATTTAAAAATAAGGCCGGGGGCAGTGGCTCATACCTGTAATCCCAGCACTTTGGGAGGCAGAGGCAGGCGGATCACCTGAGGTCAGGAGTTTGAGACCAGCCTGACCAACATGGAGAAACCCCATCTCTACTAAAAATGAAAAAAAAAAATAGCTGGGCGTGGTGGCACATGCCTGTAATCCCAGCTACTAGGGAGGCTTAGGCAGGAGAATCGCTTGAACCTGGGAGGCAGAGGTTGCGGTGAGCTGAGATCACACCATTGCACTCCAGCCTGGGCAACATGAGCAAAACTCTGTCTCAAAGAAATAAAAAATAAAAATAAAAATAAGTGGCAGCCAACATGCCCCACATGATTTTCTGTGATGAAAGAAATGCTCTATATCTACATTGTCCAATGCAGTAACTACCACACATATGTAGTTACAGAATTTCTAGTTTGGCCACGAATTTGGCTGTTACTACTAAGGATATGCCATTTAGTTATTTAATTATAATTAATTTACAGTTTATAGCCACATGTGACCAGTAGTTACTCTATTGGTTAATGCAGATCTAGAATCTTGGAGAAGGCAGTTAAAATAATGAGATATGGTCAAAATAAAAATGGAAAAGGCACACAAATAGTGAACACAGAATATGAGAATGTGAAGTAACAATTCACACAGTAAAATTTACTAATGAGATGCTGCCTTGATGGGACACATGTCTGATGATATTCAAGGCTTGTCTTGTTACAGATAGAAGAGCAGGAGCAGGGCAGGAGAGGGCTCTTCCCCTACCCACTAGAAATGTCAGGTGATGGCCTGTTAGTGATCACTTTGCCTCTCTAACAATGATAATTAGGCAGCACCAGAGACAGGCCATTTCCTGGTGGTCTACACCTGTTAACATCAAAAACGTTAATTAAATGCAGACCCCAGGAAGAAGCAACTTCTTGGGCATGCATGTTAAGAGACAAAAATGGCAAAGTATAATCTTCCGGGGACACACTCCACTGGAAAAGGAAAGAAAGCCTCAGACGGACACGCATATAACTCCCTAAACACACCGTGCATGCCAATTCCAAAGGTTAAGGAAAGCACTGTGCATGCCGGAAACTCTCCCTAAAGGAAGAATAGTGGGAAAGAGGCAAGCCCATCCCAGGATCAAGGTTAAAGGCCCTTCTCTTTTCTCTCTTGGACCTTCAGGCATCCACTTGGGTCTCTTCCAAGAGAATTTTCCTTTCCTTTCTGTTCTAAAGCCTTTTTAAATAAACTTCCACTCCTGCTCTGAAACTTAGTCTCTTTTTCCGCTGTATGCCCCTCAGTCGAATTCTTTCTTCTGAGGAGGCAAGGACTGAAGTTGCTTATGGACCCATGCAGATATGCTGCCAGTAACTCGAATCTCTTCTACTGGAAACAGTATCATTGTAAGGGAATGAGGCCAGTTCACATCTCAGTGCTCGGAGAACTCACCAAAAATAAAAAGTTGGAGGATGCTGTGAACTTATCTACCTTCCAAGGCAACTCCCACAAGCAAGCAGCAAGACTCTCTTCCCCCAAGGTCTTAAACTCTTCTGATGCTCCTTCTCTGGGAAAACGCATCCTCTGATTGGCTTCCCCTTATACAGGAAAAAACAATTAATAAACCTAATCAGCACTACATTCCAAGAGACGTGCCCTGATTGCACAGATACTGAACCTAATCGAAACTGCATTCTGGAGACACACCCGGTTCAATTTGA